CCCCAAAACCCCAAAACCCCAAAACCCCAAAACCCCAATATTTAACCATTCTGATGAAACAAAATTATATTAATGTTTAACTATAGCTGATATATTATAATATAGCTTTGATTCTTCTATTTTCAGCTACTTCTTCCAGCAAATCATTCATCTTCTTGAAAAACCCTCTCCATAATCCAACTACCTCGTCTCCATCCAGTTGCCCAGACTCATTCTCATAATCTCTTCACTTTTCTCTCAAATAAGTTGATCAACTCTTTATCTGGCAGCTGTTTCACTTTCGCTTTGAGATAGGGGCCAAATCGGGTGAGTAAGTTGGAAGAAAAAAACTCAAGCCTCTCTACTCTTCAAGTACTCAAGAACAGAATCGGTCTAGTTTATACTTCAATTATAGGCGAGAATTCCTACAATTCAGAGTTCTGTTATTCCAGTTTCCTCTATGTGATCAAGAAGAGAGACCATATAATTCAAGAAGACCCCTCGGTTGGCTTTATTTTTAACAATTCGGTTTAAATAACACCTATTCGTCATTATCGTTGATATTTCATCTTCAGATTGCCTTTAAATTTCATATTGTGAACTCAAGCTTCTTTGCCTTTCAGTTACCAGGAGTAGTGATCATATATCGTCATTTCAAAGGATGTTTCATTAAAGTTTCAAAAGAGCTGAAGATTCTGCAAGCATTTCGCTAGTTTGGCATCAAATAGAATCTTGTGCAGATGATTAATTCTGGCACCAATTATCACTGGTCTTGTTCCTACATGCTTCTAAATCAAGCTGAGATCCTGCCTGAGTATTCCCGGATTAACTGTTCAGAAACAATCAACCCGACAGAGCTGGAGATGTGTTACTCGATTAATTGAGCATTCACAGGCTCTTGATTTGATCTCACATAGCTAGATATAATAGAAGCTAAGACTAGCCTTTTGAAAAATCTTGGCTTTTACTCTTCTGGAAACAAAGGGAGGTGGAAATCATTCTGAACTAAAATTGGCCAGAATCCTTCTCGGAAAGCTTTTACTGATGCTGCAGGTTTGACAAGTTTCGTTCTTGTCCACCCCTTCGTGATGGAACATTGATATTATCTTCTATTTCTCTTGGCACCTCTGTTATTGGTCCTTACTCCTTTTCTTGAAGAGAGACTTCGCATCTGTGTCTAAGATTTCACTCAGAGGCAAAGGTTGGTTCCTTTGCTCTCTAGATCAAGCACCATTCCTCGAAATTTCAGCCCTAATTAATAAACCTCCATCTAGGAATCAACTTGGCAAATCAAAAGGGAAGTGATCTTGCTTTCGACATGGGACTCAGAACATTTTAATGTCGCTTTTTTGTATCAAAGAAGCACACGGTATGAGATTTTGGGTCTTCTGGCTGATGCCAACAATTTGTCTGCTCTCCATCTTCTTCTCAAAATCTGATTATTAAATATAAATTTTGATTATCAAAATGTCCTTTATGAATCTCAAAATCAAAAGGCAGAGTCTTGATTTTGAAGTCTTCACCAGACCAAATATGTCCCCTCAGATTATGTCTCACCAGGTTGTTATCGTGGCTGAACATACCTCTAACTTCAAGCACAATCTCAGCAAGAGCTCCACTTACAATTTCTCCAGAAAAGGGAGGCCAATTCTCCTAATCCCAATTTTTTTTGATTGTTAAATTTCGGTCCTGATTGGTGAGTGAAGATGGTGGAACTTTCATCAATATTAAAAAAGAGCCAATCCAAAGTTATTATTTAAAATAGAATGGATTATTCTCAGAGTTCAGAGAAAATCGATGTTAGAGACATGTAGACCATTGCAAGATCGAAGCGGGAGGTATATAATCACCTGGTTTATGGAGGAAAATACTATCTTCCTACGATATCGCAGATCGATGCAGATTTTATCTTTTGCATCATGGGAGGCTCTAAGAAGGTTTGTTTATTAGGTGATTTGAGGTATAGGTGTTAAAAACCTGAGAAGTAGAGGAATTCAAGGTTCCTCACCTGAAAGTCTGAAAATTAGAGATGTCCTAGAGTGGGCAGCTGATAGGTCAGATGTTCAGGACTATTTATCACATCTCAAGAGTGAGAAATTCCCTTCAAGAAAAGTCATCATGGATATTAGTATTTTGAGTTGTATACAACTTTTAGTTCACATCTTGATCTCAGACTAATTTCAGGAGTATGTGAGGGAAAGGAGGACCAAGAAGAATAGGGGTACATCGGTAAAAAGAACTTAACAGTTAAATTTCTCCTCAAACTTAAACAAATCTTTGAAGGGCCAGATTTGCACTCAAGTAAGGCTTAGATGGGAGTCAGCCTCAATTCTCCTTTAAAATTCTCAAGGATATTTCACTATATGTTAAAGAACTCAAAAGTCAGAAAGAAGAGGAAAGAGGAAAGAGGAGGAAGAGAAAGAAGATGATCAATCATTAAAAGAGCTCCAGAAGAGAATGAGAAAAAAGAGCAAGAAATTCAAGCTTTGAAGGAGCAGATAGATGTCTTTGAGAGAGTAAACTTCGAGAACGAGAAATACTCGGAGAGGCTATCTACTCTCTTTGACCTTTGAATCATTGACCAAGATGGAAGCTTGGTGCAGCTCCCTGATAATAGAGCTAAAAATTAATTCCTAATTTTCTCCCATATATTTTTAATATTAAGGGGTTTTGGGGTTTTGGGGTTTTGGGG